GTCCGCACGCGCGGAGGCCAGCGCCTGCCGCCCGCGTCCGCACCTCCCCGGCTCTGCCTCAGCGCAGCACTCCCCGGTGTCTCCCCGCGTCCCGGGCGCTCGGCCTCTGCCCGCCTCTTCCCGCCCCGGTACCAGCGCGCGGCTTCCGGGACGCGGCCGGAAGTGTCCTGGGCTCTCGGCAGCGCGGGCGGGCTCCCTTAGGCGGCAAAGGCCAGGTAAGCGGGGTTCCCCGGCTTTTATAGAGGTTCTGCTGGCGTCGGGAGAGGCGGGAGTGTGGGACCGCCAATGACTTCATCGTGAACGGAGGCGTTCCTGACGGGAAACCCAGGGATGGGTTCCGGGTCTCAGTCCTGCGGGTCACCTGGGCGTGGTGGCTGAAAGCAACGCCTGAGGAGCAGGCCTCAGGGAGAGAGGCCGGCGGGAGGCTGCAGGAGAGTCGGAGAGGACATTGCAAGTCGAGGACGATTGTCCTAAAGGTCGCATCGTGGAATTTCCAAGGACTAACAGGACTGTGTGGCTAAACCTCAGGGCATTTACAGATAGATGGCAGTGATCCAAAGGAGTCAGGCGTGGTGGTTTGCGAGAAAGTCTTCAGTTTGTTGGTCTGTGTCACTCCACTGCCCTTCCTTTTCTTCCACCATTGCAGGTTCCTGCAGCCTCTCCGGGCACTATGGGATTTCCTATCAGATGAGTTTCACTGTGGGTGCTGCTAACAGTGCTTGGCGAGTTCTGGTTAGCAGTAGTGAAGTATCCCAATTTTCCAGGGTTGGTGGGACTCGAACCCAAGATTGGTTAAAGGTGTCACCAACATTCAAGTCAGTCTGGCTAGGAATATTTATTAGCCGCCCCAGCTCAACATAAGGTAGGCTTGCTTATATAGGAGGAACCTGTAAGAAGCCACTTACAAGTGAACATTGGTAGTTTTGAAAAAGCAAGGTACAGAAACAGTCAGTTAGTGATTGCAGATGGTGACTACAATTCCAGTACTCAAGGCAATAAGTCATGAAGGCAGAGTGCTTATCCCACATCTTCCCTTTGTTCCTGCTTTTGGGTTTAACTGATATTGACCAGAACACATTCCAAACTTCTTACTTATCCCATCCAAAATCAAACTACCTTCCAGGTTTTTTGGCTCTTTCTGTGTTTCACTGTTATTTACCAAATTGAAGCAACCGAGTATTTAACTCCCTAATTTACCCAGGCCTTTATCTTTGGACTTTCACCTTTTAATAACTGTCCTGGAGTTTTTCTCTACAGGAAGATCCTGCCTTTCAAGTTTGGCCCTATTCTGCTAGCTACATAGAATTTACTCCTTTTCTTATTTTTCTTGGATCTACCTCAGTAAGACAACTGTCCTCATCCAACTCCTCCTTCTTTATTTTTGCCAGTCCTGGGGCTGAATTCAAGGCCTGGGCACTGACCCTGGGCTTCTTTTGCTCAAGGCTAGCACTCTACCACTTGAGAGCCACAACATCACTTCTGGCTTTGTCTGCTTATGTGGTACTGAGGAATCAAACCCAGGGCTTCCTACAAGCTGGGCAAGCACCCTACCACTAAGCTACATTCCCAGCCCAAGGCTCCAGTGCTTTGGGTCTCCTTTCCTGGGATGCACCACCAATTATAACCTGGATTGATAAATAACCATCTTCTAATAACCTGATGCACCCTCCTTCTCAGCTGTCCATCAACCAGACAGCAAAGAAGGGGCCCACCGTGGCCACACTCAATAGGTGGTGTCTGCAGAGCCTGGGATGAAAGGCCAGGAGCAGAAGGTCATGAGGACCTTTCCCAGCTGAGTGGATGCTGTGCTCCCACCCAGAACCAAGTACCAGGAAAGAAAGGCCCAGGCCTCTGGCCCAGGCCCCCAGCAGTGGAAGATGTAGTTCCAGGCTCTTCTCAATCTGCTGCTTCTGTGCTATTTCATGAGTTCTACTTTGAAAGATATTGTTTAGGGAAATACTGCTTCCCTGATCTTGGTTGTAGGGAAATTCATAGAATTTTTGTTTGTTACTGTTGAGATAGAGCCTCGCTGTGTAGCCAGCTGGCCTGGAACTTGTGATGCTCCTGCCTCAGCCTCAGCTGGTATTACAGGTGTGGGCCTCTGGCTCTCTTTTGTATTGATAGTCTCACATGGTAAACCACAAGCTTTGGTGGTAAATGGTTGGAGCAATGGGGATCCTGAGTCCCCTCTGTAGGGAAGAGGCCCCCAGGGTGGTCCACTGGGAGCAAGGCACTCATGGCCAGCTGTTGTTTCCTTCCCATGTTTTAAGAACCCTCAGCACACTCACAACTGGTCTGGAGCTTCTTGGCTAGAATGGAGGCAGGCTTCAGGTGTGGGATTCAGTGGGCAGGTGCTTCTGGGAGTGGAGAGGTGTCCTACAATCTATGGAGAAAGTGGCAGCCCTTCTCTCAGGCCACGGCTCTTTTGTCCACAAACTTTTATGTTCACTTACTGTCTGTTGTCTACCTCCTCCTGCCACAGTGCTCCACATGCACATGGCTTCTGGGCTGAGCTGCTCTCTCTTCTCTCTCCTCTCGGCCATGACTGGAGTTGCTGGTGTCTCGAGAAGTGTGTTGGTCAGCCTGTTTGTGTCCCCAGAGTGCCTGTGCCACATGTACGCTGGAGGCCCAGGATCGTGGGTGGAGATAGGCCCACTGGTGCTCTCTCATGTGTGAGCCTTGAATGCTGGGGAGACCCTGGGAGCTGGGCTTCCTCCAGTCCTAAGGCTGTACCTACCTTTGTCTCCCTCTCCCCGCTGGCATCTGTGCACAAAGCTCTTGTTGCTGCCTCTCCTCTTGGTGTGTCCTTTCTCGCCCCGTGTCAGTCAAAGCAGGAGCATCCCTGTGTACTTGTCTTGCTCAGTTCTGTCCTCCCTTTGCTTCCTTCCCAGATCTGCACATCTTTCCTGTTTGTGAAGTCTGGATGATACCCACTTCCTCAATGTCTCCCCAATGCATTCCCCTCTGGACACACTTCCAGCTTCAAGTAGAAATGTTTTCCTCATCCTGGGCACGGACAGATGTGAGGTTTGAGCATAGAAGTGAAAGCCACAAGGAAGTGAGTGTGGTGGCTCATGTCTATAATCCCAGGTACTTGGGAGGTGGAAATCATCAGCATGATTGTGATTTGAGGCCAGTCTGCACAAAAAGTTTTTGAGGACCCATCTCGGCAAAAAAAATGCTGGGCATGGTAGTGGCTGTGTGTCATCCCAGCTATTTGGTAAGTGTAAATAGGAGAACTGTGATCTAGATTAACTTGGTTAAAAACAAGAACCCTTATCTCAAAAATAACCAAAGCATGAAAGCTTTGGGGTGGGCTGGGAGGTGGCTCAGTGGTAGAGCGCTTGCCTTGCATGCATGAGGCCCTGGGTTCAATTCTTCAGCACCACATTAGCTGGAAGTTGTGCTGTGGCTCAAGTCGTAGAGCTCTGGCCTTGACGTGAAGAGCTGAGGGACAGTGCCTAGGCCCGGTGTTCAGGCCCCATGACCGACAAAAAAAAGCTTGTGACATATTTATAAGATGATTTCTTTGTTGCTTTGTCTGTCCCTCCCCCATGGTATAACCCCTGCTTTCACTATATAATTTGTGGAGGGGAAGGGAAAAAATAAATCCTTTAAATTGGGATATAGGTTGACCCGTTGCAACAATTAGATGTACAAGTCATTATGTCTGAAAACGAACTTTACAACTTTGGCCAGGGGGCAGGGAAGGGTGGGTGAGTGGGGGGGGCGTGGGGGGGAGATGGCAAGGGATGGGAAGGGGAAACAAAGGAGGAGGCGACAATGCTTCATAAGAAATGTACTCATTACCTTGCCCGTGTAATTGTAACCCCTCTGTACTGTATTTTCACTAGAAAAAAAAAAAGCTTGTGAAGTCTACACATCTTGACAATGCAACTATTTCTTCCAAATAGGCTGATACATACATTTCTTTCCTTTCTTAGTGCAACCTGTTCCCTCTTTCTCTCTCATTCCCATTGCTGATCTGGAGTTGCTTAGTTCACTTTCATCAGTATCCAGTGCAGCTGATGTGGACCCCTCTACTGTACTTTTTCACCTGTTTCCCTCTGAATCTGTGTCCTTCTAGTTTCCCTTATATGTGCACATGTATATACCATATGTTGGTCAAGAACATGGAGTCATCTAAAAACAATACAACAAGAAGTGGTCCTCTGTTTTGTTTCTTTCTTCTTTGCCAGTCCTGGGGCTTGAATTTAGGGCCTGGGCACTGTCCCTGAACTTCTTTTGCTCAAGGCTAGCACTCTACCACTTGAGCTGCAATGCCACTTCCAGTTTTTTGTGTTTATGTGGTACTGAGGAATGAAACAGAGGCTTCATGCATGCTAGGCAAGCACTCTACCATTAAGCCACAATCCCAGCCTATCCTTTGTTTCATGAGTCCTATTTGTCATATCTTACTACATTCTGAATTTAACAACTGCATATCAGGGAGACCATGTGCTGTTTGTCTCTTTGATCTTGGCTTATTTCGCTCAACATGACTTGTTCTAGATCCATCTATTTTCCTGTGAATGACATTATTTTTTTCTAATGGCTGTTTAATACTCCATTGTATAGAAGTACCACATTTTATGGATCCATTCATCTGTGGTAGGGCATCTGGGTTGTTTCCATATCTTGGCTATTTGAACAGCGCAGCAATGAACATAGGGGTGTATGTATCCTTGCATCCTGGTTCCTGTTGCTCAGGGAAGATGCCAAGGAGTGGTATGTCTGGGTTGTATGGAAGGTCTATGTTTAGTTTTCTGAGGAACCTCCACACTGCTTTCCAGAGTAGTGTATTGGTTTAGATTCCCACCAGCAGTGCAGTATGGTTCCTCATTCCCCATATCCCTGCCAGTATTTGTCATTGTTTGAGAGGGCCCCAAGAAGTCTGGTCCAGCTGACAGGGCTCAGAGAAGCTGGGTTCAGCCTGAGGGGAGACCTATGCTAGCAGAGAGGTGTGAGGAGATCTAGCCCAGAACAGAGGCCTGTGCAGAGTCAAGAGGCTCACACAGGGCTGAGAGACCTGTACAGAGTGGAGAGCCCCAAGGAGTCCTGGGCTGGCAGAGAACCCTGCTCAGGGCTGAGAGGCCTGTGAAGAGCCAAGAGGCCTGTGTCGATAGGAGTGGGTTATGCAGAGGCCCACAGAGAGGTGGAGAGGCCTGCATAGATCAGAGAAGCCTGTGCAGAGGCCAGAGGCCTGGGGAGAGTGAGAG